TTGTATCTAACTTTCCTMTCTATCTAGTATTTCGACGACTTGCTCTTGTATAGGGTTCCCAGGACAAGTGCCGTATATGTGCTTGAATACTTCAGAGGTGTAAGAACTCTTCAAAGAAGCCATTTGTATCAGGAGGCTTGGACCCGATCGCAATACTGGAGACGCTGGACAGCCTCATCTACCACGTGTATAGGAGGAACCCCTCGAGTCACGTGTGTCTACACRCACGTGTATCAACTGCTAATGAAGTCMTTATTCAAGGACGAAAGCTCCGGTAACCTTTCCCTTAGTTTTCTAAATTTCACTAGCCGTGCCKATCATGAGTTTACATAAAGTAAGACGACTGGTGGTAATAAACTGATAAAAGAAAGTGTGCAAAGAATTGTGGTAGTTGTAGTATATTAGGCTATCTTGCAAACAGTCATGCAGCGGATACGACCGTAGGTGCGCCATGCTTCTATGTCAACTGAAAATGAAAATTTCTCTCATCAAACGACGATCGTACAATTTCGATAGAATGCCTTTAATTAAAATTACGAAGGGGAGAAGTATGACTTAACCGGTAAAATAGTAAATCTTTCTATTCTAAATTTCTTTGACTGCTTTTCTAGAGAACGCTCTTTTAAAGGAGCGATTACACGAAACAATTTTCTCTGCAACTTGTCATTCTCTCAAAAGCGTTGCGACTGAAGATGCAAGAGTGTTTAGACGGCGCGACGAAAACGCAATCGTTGTCAAAACTATAAACAAATTTTACTTTTTGCAACGATCGCTGCAACTTGTCTCGCAACATATTCCTCAAATTGCGTTGTAGGTTACACGCTGCAATGCTACATGCAATTTGCGACACAATTTGCAGCGAAGAAAATTTTCTCCGTGTAACCGCGTCTTAAGTTAACTTATTTGATACCAGTGCATGAAAGGAAGAAAGAATATATRGCTAGTGATAGTATGAATTCGGCATCTCGTGTGAGTAGGGTTCGTTAGATGTCATTGCTCTTTATTCAAGCGTTTTTTCCTCAGATTTTCCTCCCTCTGCAAAAGCTAACAAGCTTAATTCCAAATCGATCTGTGAGTTAGTTGTGCCATGACAGTTCTTGCAGGTGTTGTTTCAGGTGTCGATAAAATTGAAGACTATTAGATTAACAATAGCTTCCTTATAAAGTACGCTTGGTCACGACAAGCATCTTTACTCGTAGCGCATCCTTTGTGAAGAGAAACTTCGCTGACTGATAATTCCCATAGGAAGGTAAAACACCGGGGGACCTAACTAGGAACCAACCAACCCACCCACCCACTCACCCACCCGCCCACTCATCCACCAACCAAGCAACCCACCCACCAACCAACCGACCAACCCAACCATCAATCATGGCAACCAGATTATTTTCCCCATTATTCGTATTTTATTTCAGAAAGTAACTACATGACAGTATTGTACTAAGCTGTCCAAAGCACGTCAATGAGTCGAAAACCAGGAGAGGTTTGTTGCAATTTATTACTTTCAAGAGTTTTTTAATTTAAACATCCAGTATAGTCTCAATGTGTTCAGTTCAAACACTTTCAATGGTTCTTTTAAATATTACAAGCAAGGATTTTTTCAACCAAAGAGTTTGACAGCAGCATGGAACCTTTGAATTAGAAATCTATCTCAGAAAAATAAGAAGAAAAAGAATAGAAATTATTATAAGACGGGTTTCTTCCTCCTTTCCTTTCTTTTTTCTTCCTTTCTTCCTTTCTGTTTTACCTGCTTCTTTCCTTCCTTGCTTGCTTGCTTGCTTGCTTACTTGCCTGCTTGCTTGCTTGCCTGCTTGCTTGCTTCCATGCTCTCAAATGCTCGATATAGTTTCTCAAATAACAGCTGATATTTTTAGGGAGGAAMTTGAAGCAAAAGCTGACCAAACTCTGTTAGTTAAGAAAACATATGCAAATTACTTTCATTTAGTTTGTTTAGTTCTTGTGAGATATTAATGAATTTAAGAATTCCTGGTAAAAAAGTTAATTTTTTCCTTTATTATTTTTTTTCTTTAGTTATTTTTTTCTTTGTTGCTTTCTGCAGGTGGTCGACCTGATGAATGGCAGAATAATCAAGAAAAGAGAATAAACCTGAGGCAGTAGAAGGAGGAAGAAGGAACGAGACGACAAAAAGATTATTAAAAAAAGAGATGGTGCACTGACAAAGTAAACGATTAAATTTTTTAAATGTGAAAAAAGTAAAATGTCAGTGAAAATAGAAAGATGGAAAAGGGTAGATCATACTGAAATAAATGAAAAAATGAAGATGGCACTGAAAAAACAAAAGGATTGGAGAAGATAGGAAATATGGAATGAGGAGAAAGGGAGAAACAAAGGAAAAAGTAGGGTAAAGATAGGAGAAGAACGAAGTATTAATTAAGA